AGAAGGCCACGCCCACACAGAGGTCTCATTGGCTATCTCCAGATTGACAGCCTAGACTCCACCCCTACACTTTTAATCCTTAAATTGACACCAGATTAGGTGAGGACCACACTTCCCCTCAAAAAAAAAAATGTGTTGGAGTCCTAACCTTCAACTGTGGGTGCAATCCGGTCTGGAGGTAGAGTTCTCTTTGTGGTGTTCTGAGCCCACATCAGAGCAGGGCGTGTCTGCGTCTGACGGTCACCATGTCTGAGCGCCAGCAGAGAATGGGGCCGATGCAGACTTGGGCACTCAAGACCGGACACGATGTGACAAGGCTGCGAGGAGCTGAGGCTGAGTACTAGTTGCCGAAATAGACCAAGAACAACCCCCAAGAGCAACTCCCTGAAATCAGACGGCTCGGTTCCTGAACTGTGAGAAAATAATGTTCTGGGTTTTTTTTTACACCCCCTTTTATGGTTTTTCTGCTACAGAAGCACAAAGGAACAGAGACACGTGGCTTCAAATGGCTCTCTGCTCTTGGTTCTGTCTGCTGATCCTTTGTACCATTGTCTTAAAGTGGAAAGTTTGCAGACTTATAATCTTGGGGTTAAGGCCTCTTGAGATCCCTGAGAACGGGCAGCAGTGACACCAGAGAGCCAGCACCCCAGCGCTGGGCTCTGTGCTCAGGAGGACGAATCTTTCCCACGTCCAGTGTGGTCTCCAGAAAAATCAAGTGAAACCAGACCCTCGGCTGGTTGACACTGGTGTTCTTTGAGAAAGTGAGCCCCTTCAGAGGGAGCATGTGGACAGTCAGGAGACTGCCACGCCCAAGTCACTTTTTCCTTAGGCAAGTGGAGAAGCGTGATAGTCCTTTGAACAATGCTTTGTGTAACCAGAAAATTACTTTGTATTTCGTACAGAGAAGTTGGGACAGCTTGATGGCAATTAGCACATGTCGATCTGTTCCTTGTTTTACTTAAAAACCAACAACTCTGGATCCGACCCTGGGGGATTTGGCAAGCATCCATACATAAGAGAAGATCGTTTCGTTGGTCATGAATGGTCGTAAACACAGATCAGAACTTGCCTTATGGTTTTTTTTCTGCCTTTCCAACTGACTGGGCTGATCTGAAAACACCAGTGGCCTCTAGTCTTCAGAAGAAGCGTTTCTATCTTTCCCAGGTGCAGTGCAGACCCTGAAGAGCCCTGTGTCCCTGAACCTGCCACCATAAACACAGTGGGGTGGTGGGATCCTTGCATGCAGGGCTGTGCTGAGTCCTGCGCGTCCAGGGGCTGGGTTGTTGCAGCTGCTGTGGGATCCGTTCTGACTCACGGAGAGGCCGCGTGAGCAACCTCTCCAAATGGTGCTCAAGGCCTCTTTGGGGGAGATCTCCAGACTTGTCTTCCTAGGCACCTCTGAGTGGGGTTGGACCGTCATCACTTGGCAAGTAGTAGAGCACTGGACCATTTCCATGTGTGCCCCCAGGGATCCTGCTTAGTTGGCAGCAGAACCGACAAGGAAGGTCTTTTTGGGGGCCCGGTGTTCTGATATTTTCAAAAGGTAGCTTGAACTCATCGCCCAGGCTGCCCAGTGCCCTCCTTTTTGCATTTGGAGCACATGGGCCCAATCTCTCTGTTGATGTCAGGGTCTCTCCATCCTCTCTTCCGTTTGCTGTCACTCAAGATTGGCAGCCACCTGGCAGGAAGGCCCACATGGGTTTTCTCTCTCAGCGGCTGTTTATTGTCCCTACCATGGTCACACATGGCTCTGTAGCTACCGGGTGCCACACATATGGGACTTAAATCCTTCCTCAGTTTCCCTGGCCCTCACTCCCTCCCCTGCACCATTCTCCATTACCTGCTTGCCTTCATTCTGCTTCCAATTTCCCCCTTCCTTTTCCTGTTTAGAAAACACCCATCTCCCTCGACCTTCCTTCTCTTCGGCTGCCTAGGAAGCCGGCTCTTGTGGACCACTCTCTCCTCCACTCCGCCCCTGTCCATCTCTCCCTTCTCAGGAGCCTTTGCTTTCTCCATCTGTGATAGTTACATCATCTGTTGTCAATTTGAGACTTTAGAGTGAATGGGGTAGTTTAGCTTGTCACTCCGGTCACAGCTTGATGCCCTCATTTGGAAGGGTTGAGGAGATAAGTAGCTTGCTGAAGCAAGGTAGGTGCTCACTTCCTGCGAGATATCCCTTCTGAGAAGACACATGGATCTAGCTAGAGTACTGGAACTGAAGGAGCCAGGCGAACCCCTGCCAGCACTGAGGTGCTTCCACTGCCACTGGATCCACAAAACTTCCCACCCACTGGCCTGTGACCTTCCTGCATTCGTCATCACTGCATGTGTTGTGGGAGTCTGAAGAGGAATTTATAGATTGGTATTGGACATATGGGCTAATATCAGACTTATGGATTTGATCTGGGCTGGGATGTTTTTTTCCAATATTCAATTGTTCTTGTATAGAAAGCTCTTTCTGATACACATATTAGTGTCTCTGAATTTGTTTCTCTAGTCCACCCAGACTAACACACTATGTTCATCTTCTTTGAGGCGTTGAATTTGTAGTTGGTGTGTTGACCCCACCAAGAGCAGCAATCCCCATCTGGGCATCACTTGGGCTTCGCCTCGGGTGCCGTGGCACCCCCGCCCCAGCCCAGCCTCACCCCCGGTGCTCAGCAGAGGCCCGGTGTGGAGGGCTGAATGGTTCATGCTTTCTGGGGGGATAAACAAATGAATGACTAGATTTGCTTGTCCATTAGCCTCCATTTCTACCTTAAAAAAAAAAAAAATCTCTCAACACAGGCCTCCCGACCCCCCTGAATAAGTGAGCACGGATGGGCCTGGGTCCCTCAGTGACAGGCACAGCAAATGCTTTGTGGCACTTGTTTCTCCAATGCTTATATGACTGGGGCAGGATCCCTGCTCTGTGGCCAGAAATCGAACACTTGGTTAGTCTGGGTTCTCATCCCCTTTCCTCTGGGCCTGCACCTTGCCCTGAGCCCCATCAACTTTCTCAGCCTAAGTCTACTCATCTAGAAAGGAGACCCCACCCCCACCCCCGCCCTCCAGAGTGTGTAAAGAGCCATGTGCCAAAGCACCTGACAAACAGAGCAGCACTGTGAGGCCGGCATTCATCATGAAGCAGCTGGGAATTCAGCATTGTCATCTTCACGGGGCAACTAATGGGATTTGCCCTCACACCCATCTCTTGAAAGGGCCATGCCCGTCATCAGGTGGTATAAGGGCTGGTGTGGGCTCCAGTAGGCCATCGAGACCTATGTACAGAGAGGCCTCCCTTGGTAGGAATGTATGCCTAGGGGTAGAGAAATGCCAATGAAGTAGCCAAAGTTCGGACAAGTGAAGGCGATGGTCCCCCCATACCGGCTTTTCTGGGACACGCGGCGCAGAGGTCACTGGTGAAGTTCTATACGTGAGACCGTTGAATCGTAGACCATCGTGACGGGCTTCTCCCTGGGCCTTCAGAATCCTTACGCCTGGGCTGCTTGTGCTTCCTTCCCAGAATGGGGGGACGAATGTGCGAAATGGGAGGGGGGCTGTAACACTAAACACATTCACCAGCGTTGTTCCTTGTGGTCTTTCCTTTTGAATTTTCCTCCACGACACTTGAGCTCATTGAGGAGAGAATACGGTCGAGCACGTCTCCCCGAAGTGAGTCACCAGTGAGGCAACTGGTTTTGACCTTCACTACTTCCCCTGGGGAGGAGGAAGACGAGGCTCTCGGCTCCCGTCAAGAGTCCCAGTCTCATAAACTGGCAGGGACAGTTGTGTTCTATCTACAGGGTGCCCCTGAGCCGGGCAGTGTGTTTGAACTTGAGGGTCCTCTAACTGGACCAGGAAATGAAGAGGTGGCTAAGTACTGACCCTCCCTCCCCATCTCTGCGTGCCCTCCCTTGATGCTGATGCTGCCATTGGTAGCCGCCGCCGCCGGCAGGCTCTGGGCTCGTGGTAACGCCATGCGCAGTTGGCGGGAAGCTGTGCCATCCTTGCGATCGGCTCCCGTGCCCACGTTGTGCTCCAACAACTGACCTCTGAAGCCAATCCCCAGACTTCTGTTTCTGGGGTGTCTTCGTCTGGAGGCCACTGGGAAACCTGTCAGCACCACAGCAGCCCACGAGCCCCATGGATCGCAGTGGCCTGGGAGTTGATGCCTGTCCCCTGCGAGAAGGGAGAAGATTGTGCCAAGGAACGACCATGGCTTCCCTTCCCCTTTTCAGCCACTGCCAGCCAGTCCATGCTGATGCCCGGGGACCCCGTAGGTCAGAGGGGGAACTGCTCCATCATAGGGGTTCTGAGTCTGTCCGTCTTCAGGGGCGCAGGCAGCCTCACCTTTCAGATGAGCACCTTAGGGTATTTGCGCCCCCGTGCCTAACCGGCCATATCAGCAGGCTCCGGCTTTCCACCTTGGCAAGCCCCAAATCATTCACTGGGATGTCTTGTAAGTAAGTGTCTGTGCGTATACTACCTCTCTGCCCTCTTGATCCCCCAGGCCATGCAGGATTCCTTGGCAGACCTCCCAGAGTGGTATGGGATAAAGGGAATGCAGGCCCATTGGATCGGGGACTGTGTCGGCTGCCACCTGGACTTCGCGTTGAAGGTATTTAAAAATTCATGGTCGCTCCAACCTCTCCCCTTTGACGTTGGGACAAACCGAAGAATAGACCAGTACTTGGGGAGGCTGTCTAATCATACAGCCTCATAACAGTACGCTCCAATGGTAAGATCCTGGGAGCCACCACTGTGATTTCAGATTTTTCTAGTAGCCAGATTCTTTTTCCAAGTTCAAGGACACAGGAGAAAATTAATTTTCCTACCATTTTTGTCAGCCCAATGTAACCAAACCGCCTGCATTAGAAGATGTGCTCAATATAGAAAATTATTAAGGAGAGACTTTCTAGTTTGCGTGCAAGGTCTATGCTTAAGGGTGACGTGCTAACCCACCTTTTAACCGTTGCACCACCACGTCTTGCTACGACCCCCTCTTGGGCAGTGCAGGTATGGAGGGTCTGGGGCCCAGGAACGATGTGCAGAACGCTGGCCTGGGCCTTTTCCTGAGGAGTGAGCCTGTCACCACAGCCGAGGGGCTACAGGACCAGAGGCTGGGTACTGCAGTTTCAAACCCAGGCCGGCTCACAGCTGTTCATGCACGGAAAAATGGCGGTGACGTAGGGGTCTGCTGTGAGATCTCTTGGGTGGGTGCTCAAGGCCCACCCCCTCTGGAAGGTGCCTCTAAGATGCCTTTCTCGGTCTCCACTGCCTGGAGGCTGTTTGTCTTGCTGTGACTTGATGAGGTGCTGTCAGTGATGCAGGCCCTCCCCTCGTCTTACCCCAGGGAAGGGAGCTGCTGTCAAGAGAGAGAATCAGCCTGCCTCTAGAGTCTGACCCCCTTCCAACCCTCCGTCTTGAGGAGCAGAGCCAGTCTGCTATTGAGGGTCATCTCTGATGC